CATATTTTTTTCCTTCGAAATTCCAATTTGTTTAGAAGTAATTGCAATTGAAAGTTTTTTTTTTTTTTTTTTTTTTTTTTTTTTTTTTTTTTTTTTTTTTNTTTTTTTTTTTTTTTTTTTTTTTTTTTGCTTTACGTCTCATTTTGCTTTGCCGCACAAAATCTTTGAAACTTAGAAACATGAAATTTTAAAAATTTTGTTTTGAAATTTCAATTTGTTCGAAAGTTGTTTGCTTTTTTAGTGATTTTTTTAGCTTTTTTGCTTTAAACTACTTTTTGCATCGGCCTATTCATTATTTGATATCAGCATTTACCTCTAAACAGCGAAGTTTTTTTCCCACAGAATCTAGTATATGTTAAATAAAGAATCCCAAGAAAACTAATGCGGAAAGATTCTTAATAATAGAAATCTATTTTCTTACTCACGCATTTTGGCTTAGATCTAATATGAAAAACTTAACCAACAATATCTAGAAACTTTATAAACACAAAAATTATTATTTATAATTTTATGCAATTTAATTTTTTTAAGAAAAGTGTAAGTAATACGCTCTGGTTTTCTTTTTTGTATTGAATTCACTTATAAGAAAATTTCGTTTTTTGAAAAATGTGATATTTAATCTTTCACAAATAACACGTTTTCCGTTATTCAAAATCACATATTTGTTTGGATTTTTTAAGTCTTTTTTTTAAACCTTTTGTTGGAAAAAGATGGAACTGTCTCTAAAAAAATTATAAACTCATAAGTTTAAGCATTAATATCATTATGGTATGTATTACAAGGTAACGACATCAAATCATTATTTAGGTGTAATACAAGCCCACAGAGGAAAAGAAAACAAAATATGAAATATTATTGATAGTTTTGAAGCTCAAATTTATGGTAAAAGTATGTAGAAACAAAAATTTAAAGTTGTTGATAAAAAATAACTCAGTTTTACAAAAAATATTGCATAAAGAAAAAGGGGAAAAAAGAACGATATTGATTATTTAAAAAAAAGTTTATCTTCAATTTCATAAAGTCCTGAAAAAAAAACGGATTGTAAAATCCTGAAAAACGGTTATTTAAATAAAATTACCCACAGAGTACACGCGATATACGGGCTCGTAAAAATCTGGAATGGAAATTTCTGATGTCTGTCGCTCGGCAGTACCCGGGGAAAAGGGATCTGGAAAAAATTTCCTTCCACTTCAGATCTATGTCTAAAATGAGGAAGTAGCCTCACAATTGAAATCTCTTCTGCAGAGGATCAAAATTGCGATGGCATGTCTTCGGATCATCCTCAGGAATATTTCCGGGATAGCCCATTGTGCAACTCTAGCGCGACGCAAATAAATTACCTATTTAAATAAAACTGTATCAAATTCTATAAAGTTCATAAAACGATTGATTATTTTAAATGAGGTTAGATAAATTTTTGTGAAATCCGGAAGAAAAAACGATGAATAACTTAACACTTTTGAAAAACCCTGAAAAACGATTATTTTAAATCAGATGAAACAAAATTTTACATAATTCTGAAAAACGATAAATTTTAAATAAGGTTATATTGCAGTACCCTGAATAAAAAAAAAAGTGCAGTAGAACGTTAGGTTAACCTCAATGGTTAGCTTAGTTTCGGTTAACCTCAATGACGATTATACGCTAGATTAGAACTCAGAAGACAAAACTCAAGATTAAAATTTACGTAGTTTTTTTTCCTTTGAAAAATTCTCAACATATTAGAGAAAAAAAAATTCGCTTTTGTTTTGAATATTTTATATTTTCGAATCCTTATGACCTATACTGTTAGATAATTTACCTCCGCGTCTATTCCAAAGTTTACGTGCAGGTCATTACCTTGAACGACTATTTCACCCAGTAACCTTTTGTCACTAATAGTTTTTTTTTCTCATCAAAATATCGCCACGGGGCAGGAATCGACCTGACCTACTGAAGCGGCTACTATGTTCATCTCGTTTTCAAGTTCGTCTTTTGTAATTTGGCATCAGATTTATTTTTTTCATTCAGAAAGATATTATGGCAATTATATAAAAGTTTAGATCATCATTTTGTAATATCTGAAGTAACTATCCTTGACTCGTTGGAACATTCAAGGATCTGAAAGATTGCTCATGTTTTGAAATTTCTATAGAAAGATGAAGTTCATACGCAATGTTGTTGTGGTAAATTTTTTAGTGAGGGAATGCTATGTATTTTACTTGCATCTTTTTTTATTAAAATGTAGATGAAACTTTAGTTTCTTATTGCATTTGGTCTAAATTATGTATAACCATTTTAAAGCAAGATTTTACCTATTTGTTTTAAATTCATAATATAATTTAATGCTAAATAATTAAAGTAAAATAAAAGCAGAAGCGAGAAATGTTACTGCTTACAGAACATTTACTTTTTAATAAACTTTAGAAGAGCAAATTTTTTTTTACAGTGCATTAAAAAATTACAGAAACAAATTTTACAATAAACAAAAGATAATTTGTTAAAAAACTGCAAAATAGGAAGCAAAAATTGTATTTCTCAAAAGACCAGTTCCCTCGACTATAACCCCTACACTATACCCCTATTCAAATTTGTCAGTTTTTTTTCTTTTTTTTGACTGAACTCTAAATTTAACACTAAATCTTGTTATTTTTTCCCAATAACTAATGAATTGGTTATTGTGTTAAAGCTACTCAGAACAAATACAATGATATTTAGAAGTTTAACCTTTCATGCTGAGTAAAAATTTAATCGTTAATCGCAAATACATAATATTTAATCGCAAATATATTATATAATCTGTAAATGAAAAACTTGAGTTTTTAATACAAAATAATATATGTTTATATACTTTTAGCAGGTTAAAATGTTCCTGCATTAAATTTTAAACAAAGCTTTAAAAATATGTATTTGCTTAGTTTCCAACTCTAAAGGGTAAAGATTTTATATAGTAGTAGATTTATTGTTTGGTTGTTCTCGTTAGGTTGTTAGATAGAGATAGTAAAAAAATTAAAGTCTGGAGTACTAGATACTAAGCTTCTTCAACACTTTAAAGCATAATTGTTTAATACAAACAATAAGTACTTGTGGACTCAGCCCGCTCGGTGATGCGTCCAAACTCTCGTAGATTGCTATGGTTGCTATGGTGCGTAGACGCTATGGTATGCTCGTAGATTGCTATGGAGTGATATGGTTAGTTTTGCAAACATGCTCGCTCGCTGCAAAGTTAAAACCCATTTGAAATGTGTTCTAGCGTAAAATCTTTACAGGCAATTCCTCTTCAAAAAAAAATTTTTTTTAGCCAGTTATAAGTTATTTAAATACAAAAAATTAAATTAAATTAAATGACTTTGAAGAAAAAAACTTACAGAAACAAAACAATGTTTATGATTTTGAAAAAACATGACGTCAAGACTTATGCATTCTTTCAATTTTGCGTGTTTCATAACTGATCAATGCTTTCTTCTGCGTTGCTTTTTTATTATTCTTAAAAAGTATAATAGCAAGATTAATAATTTTTTGAATAATAACAATGAAATAATTGACTTATTAAATCTGCTTAGAGTAATAAAAAGTATAGAACACTTTATATGAACTATTCGCTTTAAACCTTTCAATTAATCCTAACTTAGTTCAGTTTGCTTCAGCTTTTCGTTGTTCAAAATTAAAATTTGTCCTGTACTCAAGTTACCAGAAAAAAAAAAGACTGATTACAAAATCTTTTAATTTCTAAATTGTTTTATGAAGTAAAATATCCGTGACAAGAAAAAAAATCTTACTGTTATAACATATTTACAGGTAAATATTTTACATTCGCGATTATTAAATACCAGTAATTTCTCTATTTACTCGTAAGTTAATGCTTCATCCGCAATAGCGCAAATCACACAATTTCTCCGGCGTTTTCCAAGATATTTTAAGATCATAAGACAAATAATTTATGCAGCAGACAGCTAAAATATCCAGACTTGGCCAGCTCAAACATAATACATACTTTAGGATAAATTAGGTACTAATTTTGTATCTAATAAATTTTTTTAAAACTGTTAAAAAAAATTTATACTTTACATATACATACATTTTTCCTCAGATATAGGTTTTTGAAGCTGGACTTAAAATATGAATTCTGTAAAAGAAAACAAGTCTGAAATTCGGTGAAGTCACTTAATTTTAATTGAACACTCTGTGTTCAGTGAAATCACTGAATTTTACACTATTCGGTGAATTCTCCGAATACAGAGTGTTCTATAATTATCATGAAAATTCTAAAAAATTCTTCTCGAAAATGTAGTAGAATAATATGCACATTAGGGAACACAAATGTCGTGGAAAGAAAAAGATTCTATTTAAAACTGTGGAATCACTGCGGAGGACGATTGAACTGGAAGTATTCAAATTTGATTGCCAGAAGATACAAGAACTAAAATACGACCTAAGTTTCATCAGGCAACCAAACTGGTTTTGATTTTTTTCTTTTCTTCATCGATTCACAGGTTTTAAAAAATTTTAGATTTTTTTTTGCAGTTGATTATTAATTGAAGACCCTAATGTTCATTTTTTGTTACCGATTTTAAAAAGCATTAAAGTGGGTGATTAATGACTATCTTATTTATGGGTATAAGATTTACAGGATGAGGTATACCTATAGTATAGAGGGTCATTTAGTAGAGAGCATACCAGTTGGACCTACGGTCTCCGTTGCGGTGACGAGTGTTTTGCCAGATTGTTTAAAGTTGGATAGGCCGAGTTAAAATTCCTTAGACCTAATTGTTATTATAATTTGAATACCTAAATAGTTTTTCAAAGATTGAACAATGTTATAAAATACATTCACTTTATAAATAAATTCAAATTTGGATTTGGAAATTTATAAAATTCATTTAACAGTTAGTTTTAAACAAACATCAAGCCTTAATTTACAAGACAAAATAGTTTTCAGCTCTATCCCCCTGAATAAAATATTCTAGTACAAAAATAAGGAGACTAGAAAAACAAATGTTTGAATAAAACGAAATTTAAAATACTCATTACAACTAAATAGCTTTAATTACACACAAAAAGTACAATAGGAATAAAAATAAAATACTAAAAAACGCAATAATAGCTTTCTACACAATATACAATATGCTAATTCATAACTCTAGGCAACCATGGCTAAAACCATTGCCAAAAGTACAATACTAATACTGGCCATTAAAATTTTGAGGATATTGAGTTCTTCAGTTTTCTGCTTTGGCATCTTTCTAGTATCCAAGGCAGCTACAACCCTTTCGTCTACAGTCAAAAGAGCTTCACGAGCACCTGCCCACGCATTTGGACCTTTTAACCTATATTGATAAGGAACGCAGGAGCCGAAGACGCATTGATAAAATAACAGAGGATCATTAAAGAACATGGATGTGAGATCTGGTTTTACACCAGCTAAATCTGCTAATTCGTCCATGTAGTTAATCCAATCCACTTGAATTGTGTGGCGTGGTCCAGAGAAGTAACGTTTCTTCATTTCACGATCTTTTCGTCTGACATCTCTCATCATTTCCTCCTCGGAGGGTAGATTGATTTTGCCTGAAAGGAAGATTCATACTGTTAGAATTTTAATCATAAAATCACGGTAAAATATCTGGCAGCAGTCTGTTTACCCAATTAACCGTACATTTTGAGGTTAGGAACATTTCTCGAAATTTACGGTTTTGAAACAGTTTACATTTGGTATCGTGAAAAAGCAGTGATTTCGAAACTGTACGGTTTTGTAATCATTAACACCGAGCACGACTTCAAATGGGTAAAAATGTAGTTTAACTGTTCATTGGAGTTGAAATATGCTAGGATTTTTATTCGGTAATAGACATTGGAGTTGGGTTACGTTTCGTAAAATGGACTGCGGCTTAGTTCATCTTGTGGCGCCATCTATTTAGAGATATGGGAAATACTAGACTGTTTGACTATCTCTGTGTGAACTAAAAGGTTCGTATTTTAACTGTCCGGGGTCACCAGCTGGGGAGTGCAAGACATTAAAATCTCTTCACGTGTTGAAGGAACGGCCGAAAAATTGTGGTGACAAGGAGGGGATTTGAACATCAGTTCAGCCGGTCATAAGATTGCCAGTTAAGTCTTTTCAGGTATAGTATGTACCCAGTGGCAAAAAACTAAGCGAACTTCATAAAGTGGGCCTAGTTGGCGGGGTTAAAATTGTGTTATTTAACCGCATTAGGTGGAAACAGTGGTCCTTTATAATCCTTTTTGTGGTTGTTTGACTGTTATGGTTGAAAATAGTAAAATAGTTATTAATTTTTCGGTAAAATTTCTAACAGTATAGTAGCAAAATAAACATTAAATTTTAAGCAAGAATTTTAAATTTAGAAATTTAATTTATGATTAAATAAGATTTATTACGATTATTAAATAGTTCAATGTCTCAACAGTTTCAGAATTTCCAAGATTCATAAAAAAACATTAAGATGTGTTTAGTTTATAATACGTGTATTCGATTTTATTCAAAACCCACAGCTTCACGATTATATACAACTTCATTAATCATCAATCTGAACCTTTGATGCTAAATAAAGCTGAACTGTCATCGCTCACATTTGAGAACATTTTTCTAAAAGTAAAAATATAGCACATTTTGTAACGAATTTCATACTGATAGAATATATGTTTTCAAATTTTATGTAGCTTGTTCTTTCAAAACTGCCTTTCTTCTGAGCTGTTTAAACAACCTTTTACTCAATTTATTGTTTTTTTAAGAAAAAAAAAACAACAAACTGTATTGATTGAATATGAAGTGTAATAATACAAAACCAAGGAGCGATTATCTATAGAGGAAAACAAAGTACTTGACACTAAGTCTGACGAAAAAAAAAAGGATAAATTATAAAGTTGCATTAGGATCGTGATACTCGTAATTAATGTAAAATTAATTTAGTTTCTAATTAATGTAAGGTTTTTTGTTTTAGCTTAATTTTTGTTTCAATGTTCAACTCTCGTAAGATATGTTTAGTTACACTTAAACTTAACAATCTAAAATTTAATTCAAAACCTAGAAAGATTTATTTTTTTATTATGCTGTCAATCAATTTACATATGTAAACAAGAATTTGAGAAAAGCATTGATTATCTTATATTACTCTTATCTTGAACTCTTCAAAATAAGAGAGCAAGATAGCGCTCTTCATCGAAGATCTGCAGCTTCAGGTTTCGATAACGATATCAAGGACCACATCATTCGTGAGTAAAATCAAGGACTGATAGCCGTGGCCTTCGGAGTCAACTATACTGCTCTAAACGTAAATTACATTACGGACGTAAGGTAAACTGATTAAACGGTGCTGTAAACTAAATCTGACGCGAAAAACGAACAGAGGGAATGATTAGAGAACTAGAGGATCTTTGGATTATTATTTAATAGATGATAAACTTCAAAATGGTTATTAGAATTACTTGCACTAAGAGGTTAATTTTATGCATACGAGTTTAAATCAAAAGCAAATTTTAAGTAATTGTTTTATTACAAAAATTAATTTTACACTCACTGTGTGTGAACTGTAGACAAAAAATATTCATTTGTAAGTAAAATTACGAAATTATATTAGGTTTTTGTCGTTAAGGAACATGTATTTTTCTGAAAGCGAAAGTTTGATCCAACTAATTTTATCGCACAAAATTTTCTGATCAAGCCACCAACAATTTCCCTGAAGATGTTTTTTTTACTGAGATTTATTATCGCCAGGTCAGATAATTGACGTATGTTTTCATGCACAGATATTTGGGCAGGGGCGTTTATCCAGGTTTTTTTTTTCTGACAGACGTGAAAAAAAAAATATGAGAACATTTCTAAATGAAAAACTTTAGTTTTAGCAATCACTATATTTCAATCAGATTTCTTTTCAAATACTCTTTTCAAATTTTCTTTCTTTGTTTGTTGCTATTTCCCTGTGGTTTTTACAAAATAACTTCGATATATTTAATACGCTGTTACGAACTTGAGATATCACTTTTGGTCGCTTTCGATTTGTGACGATTCTATCGTAAAATTACGACATTTGATAGCTTTTTTGTAAGCTAGCATTTTCGGTCCTTTTCACATTATTTTGAACATTCGAATACTTTTAATAAGATGTTACTGCGACGTTTGAATTTGGGTTACCACTTTTTGACACGTGCGATTCAAAACGTCTCCATAACGGTCGCGTAGTTGAAGGATAATTTTTCCGACCTTCAAGAGTCGTGAAGAGTTTTTAAACAGCTATTTAATAAGCTGTCACAACACACGAATTTCGAATTCAAGTCTTGAAGGTTTCGATGCAATTATAAAAATCACGTCGCTTTCAGATTTTTTTTTTCGTGAATCCGCTGTGGAACAATTTTGAGCAATCATTCTTATAAAGTGAAAATTGGTTTCCGAATTAGAATGTTGCAAATGGACCGTTTTTACAAATTAGTATTGAATAGAAGCCGCAAATTTTCGCCTGAATCGAATTGTTTGGGATAGATATATTTCTTGTTCTTAATTTGTAAACCTAACAAGTAGCTACAAATATAATTGAATTTCAATGGCAGGGCAACGCTGCATCATACATTCAGAGATGCCAACTGTTCCGGACACGCCAAAATAATTAAAAGAACTGTAAATAACTACAAAGCAAATTTTACAAATATTTGACTATTTTTGCTTGCTTTTTAAAAGGTATAGCATGACATGAATACCATAAAGTGGGGAATTATATAAGCTTGCGAATTATCTAGAAATAATGGTGGATAAAAATCTACTAAATTGAATTTATTAAACCAAGAATCACAATTGATAAATTACCCAGGGCTCGAAAAAACTCAGAAATTTTACCCGTCTCCGAGGACGGCTTGTCCAACAATGCACCCGTCCTCCGTTGAAATTAACCAGTCGCTTTTAAATAAATAAAAATATAATTTTCTCTTATTTATTACAAGCATTTATATAAATTGCACAATGAATTAGTCGTTACTAGGAATACATTATACAGTAATAAAAGAAATACTAGGTTACTAATAGTAACCTAGTATTTTTTTTATGAAATAATTTAAATGACAAGGGTCAAGTTATCCGAGGGTACTGCGTTTTTTAAATGAATCAAATATGACGTTTGCCAGTTCCACAATCAAGCCAATGATTTACAGAGGTTTCTGAACAGAAATCTGAAAGGGGTTTTCCATTTAGGTAGATG